CCTCTGTGCCTGTTCCCCCAGTCCTTCTTCCATTGCAGAGGGGTGTGGGGCCTAAGAAAGTTCCTCAGGAAGTCCAGGGTCCTTTCCAGGGTGGGCAGGTGGAGGTCCCAGTGGGGGAAGGGTGGTCAGTTGTGGGAAAACGGAATGAGGCAGTCCTTTCTACAGCAGGGTCAGTTTCCTCTCTGGAGGTGGGGGATCTGGCCCTTGACAACATGTTTGGGGCTCTGTCGGGGGAGGAGGGGGAGGTCTCAAGTGACCCCGCTTCACTGATGGAGGATGAGGAGGTGGGAGGGTCTCTAAAAAGGTTGAGGGACCCTGCCAAAAAGTCCAAGAGGAAGGTTAATAAACGCCCCTCTCAATCTCCTTGATGGCAGTTCCCACTCCGTTAAAGGTGGCAACTATTAATGTTGCCAGTTTGAGGTCTGTAAGTGCTAGAGGGACAGCCTTATTTTTGATCAGTGGTATGGATGCTGATATTTTCTTTTTGCAGGAGACCAGGTTGTCCAACCTGGCGGATATACATCTGGCCAAGTGGGAGTGGAGGCGTGGGCCATCCTACTGGTCTCTCGCGGCTGAGCCTTACAGCGGAGTTGCGGTGCTTTTTACCGGTATGGTAACGTGCCGGCGGGTTATTGAGGTGGAGATTGGAAGATGTTTGATCTTGGATGTCCTTGTGAGGGGGCAGGAACTGCGCCTAATCAATATATATGGACCGCAGTCCAAGTGGGACAGAAAGTGCCTCTTCACAAGGATCAAGCCTTTCCTTTTTATGTCCCGGCTGGTGGTCTTTGGAGGTGACTTTAATACCATAACTAGGCCCAAGGTTAGGAGGGGCTTCAATGACAGGCTGGGATATGACAGCGTTTTTCTAAATGCCATAGTCAGGGAAGCAGGTCTGGTGGATGCCTTGGTTAAGAGCAGCCCGGACAGCACTGGTTTCACGTTTAGGAGAGGTAATAGTCAGAGTAGGATAGACAGGTTTTTTTTTAAGGAGAACTCTGCCTTCTCGGCACCCGAGTGTCGGGCGGTGGAGTTTTTTTTTTTTGACCACCTTATGCTTACTGTGACTTTGAATGTTTCAGACACGCCGCTTAGAGAGAGGGCATCTGGAGGTTGAATTTGTCTCTGCTGGAGGACGAGGAGGTGAGACAATCCTTCGAGGAGTTCTTTCAGGCTCAGGAGACTGTGCTGGATCTCTGCGTCAGTAAGTCGGAGTGGTGGGAACTTACCAAGATGCGGATTGGCTGGTTTTTCAAGGCCATAGGTAAAAGGAGGCAGTTTGATAAGTACATCGCCTACCAACGGTTGCGGAGGAAGCTTGTTTTGTAGCGGTGGAGATTCTGGGGCAATCTCGGAGGCCAAGCTTCTCCTCAGGAAGTACGAGTATGACCGGCATACCTCTTTGGTTTTGGAGAGGGATTATGGAAAGTACCACTCGCCCGACCCTTTCCAGAATTGCAAACAGAGTGCAGCGATTAAGACGGTCTCTGCCCTAAGGGATAGTACAGGGTCCCTGACAAGATCCAGGTCAGGGATCCTGGAGGTCTCTAGGTCCTTTTATGAGGACTTGCTGGGTGAGAAGTACCTCGACCGGACAAGGATGTTGAGCTTTTTGGAGTCTACACCGGGTCTGGATGGTAATGTTCCGCTTGCGAGTTTGACTGGGGAGATTACTGCAGAAGAGGTGGTCAAAGCCATCGATAGTCTGGCCATTAAGAAGACTCCTGGGCCAGATGGCCTGACAGCTGAGTTTTTGAAAACCTTTAAGTCCAGCTTGGCGCTTCGCCTCGTGGAGGTTTACAACTGCTGTCTGGATGAGGGGCCCCTCCCTCCATGAGGCAGTCTGCAGTGATTCTCTTGTCAAAGGGTAAGGATCCTTCGGCTATTGAGAACTGGCGCCCCATTAGCCTTCTCAATGTCGATAGAAAGGTTCTGGCTAAGATCTTGTTCTGGCGCCTGTGGTCAGTGGAGGATGGCTTGCTTTCACGTCAGCAGCATTGCTCGGTCCAGGGCAGGAGTACCTTCACAGCGGTGTTAGCTGTCCAGGAGGCCCTGGAGCCGTGTAAGGCTGAAGGATGGGGAAAGTTTCTGCTGGCATTGGACCAGGCTAAGGCCTTTGACCGAGTCAATCATGAGTACCTCTGGCATCTCCTGGACCGATATGGTTTGGAGGGGAGGTTCATTGGCTGACGTTGTACAGGGAGGCTGAGAGCTTCATGTTGGTGAATGGCTGGGTTGGGTGACCCTTTGGGGTTGGATCCGGGGTGCGCCAGGGGTGCCCGCTGAGCCCTTTGCTCTACGCCTTTGCCATCGACCCCTTCGTCAGGAGGCTAGATGGTGGGGTGGTGAGTGGGGTGCCGGTGGGGTCCGCTGGGGCTCCGCCCCTGAGGGTCGTGGCTTATGCTGATGACGTTTCTGTTTTCATCTCTGGGTCGGAGGAGGCGCAGGAGGTGGTCTCAGTGATGGATCAGTATGCCGAGGCATCCAAGGCTCCAAGGTCAACCAGGACAAATGCAAAGTTCTCTGGATGGGAGGGAGGGTGAGAGCTTCTCACTCCCGGACACCTTCCCGGTGCCTCAACAGAGTTTAAAGGTTTTAGGCATCAATTTCGGCCCTGCTGATTATAGCAAATCAAATTGGGAGGCCAAACTGTCTGGTGCCGAGGTCAAGGTGAGATGCTGGAAGGGGTGGTGGCTCTCCTTGAGGGAAAGGGTTGATTTGATCAAGACTTTCCTGGTCCCCGTGTTGTTGTATGTCAGTTTTGTTTGCCTCTTGCCAGAATCGCTCTATACGAGGATCTACAGCTGCTTCTTCCAGATGTTATGGGGGAACAGGCTGAACCTTGTCAAGCGGGATGTGACCTACTCATCCAGGTGGGAGGGTGGCCTAGGTATGGTCAACCCGGTGGTTTTTTTCTCTCTGATATTCTTGAAACATAATTTTGGTAACATGCTGGCAGAGAAACCACCTGCATGGGTAGGACTGTTTCGGATCTGGTTTAGACCCTTTCTGAACAGTTGGGAGAGTGGCGGGCTAGTGAAAAGCCTGCGGGTCAAGCACGGTAAACTCCCAGCTTATGTGGCACCGTGCCTGAAGTTACTCTGGCGGTGGTATGTGACGGTGGAGGAGGTCAGATCCCTCCCTAGGAGACTCCTGGGTGAAAGGATTGTGGCAACCGCCTTCCATGCTCCGTTGGCCTTGAAAGATTGCCCAGGCCATATCATAAGGGAGGGTTTACGTTTAATAAATCTGGAGCGGATTCCCTTTTAGTTTAGGGACCAGGCCTGGCTCTCTTTCCATGGAAGGCTTTATGTGAGGGGTAATTTGAAGTACCGTCCTCCGGATGACCGTGGTTGTCCGAGGTCGGAGTGTCAGGGTGAAGTGGAAACTATGGACCACTTCTTGCTTCAGTGCCCCTTTAACGTGGAAGTGTACAAAGTGGTGGGTGGGGCTCTAGGTGTTTCTTTCCTGCACTGCATGACTTATGCAGAGTGGGTGTATGGAGCATTCGGAAGCCGCCAGGGTTTTGATTTGGACACCTTGTTCTTAGTCAGTTTAGTGGTCCGATACTACACATGGAACGCACGGTGCCAGGTATCCCTTCGGCAGAAAGCCCCTGTAGCTGCTGCCTGTTGATCTCGGGTGGTGGGGTCTGTCCCTATTTTCCTCTCCTTTCACCCACCCTAGATTTTGTAGTTCTGGATCCTTTTTGATGGAAGGCTGCAGGCGCTGAAGATCTGGTTTCTTAGCCTCCTTCATGGGTATGTATTCTTTTTTTTGATGTGGTGTGTTTGGGTCATGAAGGCCCCTGAAGCAGTAGAATGGAAATTGTTTATTTCTTGCTAAGTTTATTGGCCATAAAGGCCTATTTACTGTGGGGTTTTTTATGTTTATTTTTATGCTTGCTGTTTCCTGGCCATAAAGGCCTGAAGGGAACAGGTATTTATGTTTTTTTGTTCCAAGTGATGGACTTTTGTGTTGTAGGCCATAAAGGCCTCTTTTTTTTCCAGATATGGACTCTTATGTTTAGGCCATGAAAGGCCTTGGACTGCCTTATTAAGGGCCATGAAGGCTGTATCTATTATGTTGAGTTTTTTTTTTTTCTTTTTAGGAAATTCCCGGACTTTTGAGTTTTGTGCATGAGGGAGAGGCTTATGTTTGTATTTATTTATTTATATTTATATATTTTGTATTTTTGTAAATAATTGGATTGGTGATTTGTTTGACTTTAATACAAATAAAAAAATCTCCATTCCTGACAGTACCCCCCCCCCTCAAGGAGCGGCCTCAGGACGCTCCAAACAGTCAGTAATGGCCCAAATGTTCCACCGCCTGTGTCCGGCAACTGGCTGGACATCCCACTGCCGGAATCAAGCGATTGGCTGGGTCTCCTGCTGATAGGCCTATCTTTTTGCAGGAGACTGCAGGAAGGCAGATTTCTGGACACAGGATTTCCAGAAGCAGGCTGGGCATCAGGAGCCAGTACATCAGGCTGGGCAGCGGGCGGAGGCACGTCAGGCTGGGCAGCAGGCAGAGGCACGTCAGGCTGGGCAGCAGGCAGAGGCACGTCAGGCTGGGCAGCAGGCAGAGGCACGTCAGGCTGGGCAGCAGGCAGAGGCACGTCAGGCTGGGCAGCAGGCAGAGGCACGTCAGGCTGGGTAGTGGGCACCGAGTCATCTGGCACGACAGCGGGCACCGAGTCATCTGGCACGACAGCGGGCACTAAGCCATCAGGCGGAGAGCAGCGGGCACCGGGCCATCAGGCGAGGCAGCAGGCACCGGGCCATCAGGCGGAGCCGCAGGCACCGGGCCATCAGGCGAGGCAGCAGGCACCGGGCCATCAGGCGAGGCAGCAGGCACCGGGCCATCAGGTGAGGCATCAGGCACCGAGACATCAAGCCCGACAGCTGGCACCGAGTCAACTGGCATGACAGCGGGCACCGAGTCATCTGGCACAACAGCGAGCACCGAGTCATCTGGCACGACAGCGGGCACCAAGCCATCAGGCGGAGCAGCAGGCACCGGGCCATCAGACAAGGCAGCAAGCACCGGGCCATCAGGTGAGGCAGCAGGCACTGAGTCACCAAGCTCGACAGCGGGCACCGAGTCAACTGGCACGACATCGGGCACCGGGTCATCTGGCACAACAGCGGGCACCGGGTCATCTGGCACGACAGCGGGCACCGAGTCATCTGGCACGACAGCGGGCACTGAGTCATCTGGCACGACAGCGGGCACCGAGGCACAAGGCCAAACCACGGGCACCGAGGCACCAGGCTGGACCAGGGCACCGAGGCACTGGGCCAGAGCACAGGCACTGAGGCACCGGGCCGGACCACGGGCACCGAGGCACCAGGCCACGGGCACCGAGGCACCAGGTCAGACCACGGGCACCGAGGCGGACCACGGGCACCGAGGCACGGGGCCGGACCACGGGCACTGAGGCACCAGGCCAAACCACGGGCAACGAGGCACCAGGCCGGACCACGGGTACCGAGGCACCAGGCCAGACCACAGGCACCGGGCTGGACCACGGGCACCAAGGCATGGGGCCGGACCACGGGCCCCGAGGCACAGGGCCGGACCACGGGCACCGAGGCACCAGGCTGGACCACGGGCACCGAGGCACCAGGCCGGACCGGGTCATCAGGCTGGATCCGGTCATCAGGCTGGATCACAAACACCGGGTCATCAGGCTGGATCGGGTCTTCGGGCTGGATCGGGTCATCAGGCCGGATCGGGTCATCAGGCCGGATCGGGTCATCAGGCTGGATCACGAACACCGGAGTCAGGCTGGATCGGGTCTTTGGGCTGGATCGGGTCATCAGGCCGGATCGGGTCATCAGGCTGGATTACGAACACCGGGTCATCAGGCTGGATCGGGCTACCAGGCCGGATCGGGTCATCAGGCCGGATCGGGTCATCAGGCTGGATCACGAACACCGGGTCATCAGGCTGGATCGGGTCATCAGAATGGATCGGGTCATCAGGCTGGATCACGAACACTGGGTCATCAGGCTGGATCGGGTCATCAGGCTGGATCGGGTCATCAGGCTGGATCACAAACACTGGGTCATCAGGCTGGATCGGGTCATCAGGCTGGATCGGGTCACCAGGCTGGATAGCGTACACTAGGTCATCAGGCATCAGGGCATCAGGCTGAACAACGGAAGGCGGGTTCTCAGACAGCAGGCTGACCGGTTTGGATACTGGTAGGATGGTACTGGTTGGAAAGAATTTTCGCTTCTTCTTGGGTTTTAGTTACTGGGGCACTGCAAGTAAATGCAGGTCTGTAATTGGATGGAGTAGCTGGGGAGAGAAGAAGAGCTGGAGGGGTGGAACAGAGGAGGGAATAGTTGTTACAGCGGCCTTTTTTTACAGAGTTAAAGGCAGGATAGGTGCAGCGAGTGGGAACAGGGTACTGACATGTGGTAGATAGCAGGGTATATTGGGCTGTCACTGGGGTGCTGTCGGGAATGCAGGAATAGAGCTTTGAGCAGAGGAATAATTAGAAGCAGGACGGGTTTGTTGCAAGCTGCCTGAGGCTGAGTGTAACAAGTCTGACCAGGACTGTAGTATTGCTTGAACAAAACTCAGCTTACACATAGCCTGTCTGGCCAAAGACTGCACTGCGTTTATACACTCCACTAGCACATGTGGTGAACATGCTGAATAATGCTCCCAGAAGCAATCTGGATCATCCTCCAACAACCATACCAGTGATTCTATTTGATCCACACTGAATGGTGGAAGAAAGTCATTCCTGCTTTCAGGGGTACTAGATGAAGCCAACTCAACACAAGCCTGAATCAGTGGTTGCACCTCAGAGAACTCTGTGCCCTGATCTACTAGGGAATGAGCGACCCGTATGCACTCTAGCAGCTGATCCCTGGTATACTCCTGCTGAGTCTGATAGGCATATTCTCTGTCATCTAAGACAAGCAAATACAAGTATACCACCTCCTCAGGTTGCATCCTTCCCAACAACAAGCCAAGATGGCTTCCCTGTGCAGCCACTTCTGGTCAGGAATGGCCTTGGTGTAATGTCAGAGCTCCTGGTAAGACCAGAGATGCGTGAACTGACACAGGGAAACGCAGGCTCAAGTATGGTGTAACAATATAATTTGTTAAGGGTTATACACAAATATAACGCACAATATAACAAAACCAAACCTCCAACTGATAACGGAATGTACACAGATAAGAGCAGTCAGGGCTGGTGAGGTGGAGTGGTCCGGCAGGCCGGGTCAGGAATCATCGGCCAGACAAGACACAAAGGAGCAGGCAGAGCGTAGTCAGACGGGCCAGGTCAGGAACAATCAGGCAGACAAGGTACCAAAGGAGCAGGCTGGAGAGTGGTCAGGAATAGCCGAAGTCAGGACAGGCGGAGTTCATTCAGGGTCAGGATCAAGCAGAATCAGGAATCAGGCAGGAAGCAGACAGGATGCAGGTACAGGGGCTCATGGGAAACATACACCAAGGCACTGACTGCAGGTCTGTCCATTCCTTAAATACACCTCCTGCAATCAGCCTCAGGTGAAGGCTGACTGCAGGAGTGAGCTTCTGGTTGCTGAGAGCACCCGCTGGACAGCCCTGCTACTGCAGCCCACAAGGCAGGTGAGTCCCACCACCATTGGCAAGTCCATTCCTGACACATCCTGTACGTATACTCCACTCTGATTATCCAATCTTTTATTTTGGGGATTTCCTGTCTCTGCCAGAATCTAGGTATCAATCCCTTAGTTAACGTAAACAAAGAAAAATGAGAGGAATAGAGCAACAAATTATGGAGTTAAAAGAGAAATTGGAGCCTTTGAAAGAACTACCAGAGTTTGGAACACTCACCAATAGATTAAATAAGGATTTGGATAGCTTGGATAGAGAAATAAAATCAAGGAAAGCGAAGTATCAAAGGGATCTTAATGATATTAAATATGATGTAGTCTTTAAATGGCAGACCACACTTAGAGAGGTTGAGGCAGTGTCTACTACAACCACTCCAGTCAAAAAAGTCTTAATAACAACGCGAACCAGAAAGGTGTAGTAAAGGATTTTAAATATAGAAATCCCCCAGAGGCGTATAGAACCAACAATTATAATCAACAAACACCTAGGAATGGTTGGAAACCAGTGGAAATAAGGCAGTAATACCAACAAGGTCAATACTCCCAAGGATTATTATACCCCCAATAATGGTTGGGGACAAAGAAATGGTAACCCTCATTATAATAAAAAAAAACTGGTGGTAAAGGTCAATGGCATCATTGGAGATCAAAATTATTATAGACCGCAATACCACCCTAGACATGAAGATAGGTATGAAGATAGGAGTCCAAGACCACCACCCAGATAGGGAGGAAGAAGCTCAATATCTACATATAATCGCTATGAACCATTGAGGGATGAATATGACACCAACTATGGGGAATACCAGCCCCATTTTTTAGACAAAGACAGGAGAACCCCCAAAAGGGAAAGAGGATACAGGAGAAGCCCAAACAAAGGGCATGCAGAGCAGGAAGGGACAAACAAAAGAAAAAGAGAGTATTAGGAGAAGGGGTATTTAACTTAAGTGGAACAGTGTTAAAAAATTAGGAATTACAAGTTTTAGATAAGGGCCTGAAATTTGCCCAAAAGAAACCAGCAAACAAAGTTTACATCGACTTACAAAAATATATTAGGAAGTTGAATGTGAAAAAGTATTTTCTTGGAGAACGGGTGAGAAGAGAAAAAATGAAAGTCAATATTGAGACTAATATAGTACATACACATTTTAAGAATAAGTCTTTCTTTAATCCACAGATTAATGATAATGGACATGTTGATGTGTTCAAAAGAATGGTAGCTCAGGATTTGATCTTGATCTACTCATTTGAAACAGCATAAAGGTATCCAATTGGGCCTTAAGAAACTCAGCAAACGTAATGACATAGTAATCAGACCTGCAGACAAAGGTGGTGCAATAGTAGTACTTGCAAAAGAATATAATCTCAATGAATTACAAAGTCAGTTTGATGATGCAACTACATATGAGAAGTTAAGAAATAACCCTACTATTAAATTTAAAAAGGTATTGGACCAATTAGTCCATAAAGGGCTAAAGAAAAAATTATTAGATGATAAAAAAATCAAAATATCTGATACCTAAGGTGTGTCGGGTTCCTGTTATGTATACTATTCCAAAAATTCACAAAAATAATATTAATCCTCCTGGCCGAACGATTGTAAACGGAATAGTATCAGTAGTGAATAGACTTGGACAGTATGTTGTTTTTTTCCTCCAACCGCTTGTCCCTAAAACAATGGTATATTTGAGGGATACAAAACATTTAATACAACTTTTGGGCCAATTGCAGATTCCCTCTGAGACAATGGTAATGTCTTTTTGGCAACAGTAGATGTAGCATCCCTATATACTATCATCAGTCACTCTGACGCCACTATGGGGTTTAGGAGAGTTTGGCAATTTGAGTTGGAGCCAAAGGAAATTTATTTGTGATTGCCTTAAATATTGTCTTTATCATAATTATTTTTGGCATGGGGGTGAATATTATCGGCAGATTAAGGGAATAGCTATGGGAGTAAATTTTGCACCTAGTCTTGCAAATCTATTCATGGCCTTATGGGTAAAAGATACAGTATACAAAACATCCCTTCAACAATTATTGTTATATAAGAGGTTTATAGATGACATCCTGATTATTTGGCAAGGGGAAAAAGAGGCCATCGAAATATTCCTTACATATCTTAATAATAATTTAAAAAAATATTAGATTATCATGGGTGGTCAGTGAAGTGAATGTCAATTTCTTAAATTTAGAATTTACTTATAATAATGGTGCCATTTCTACTAAAACCTATTTTAAATCAGTAGATAGAAATGGTTATATTCCATGGTATAGTTGCCACCATACACCATGGTTGATGAATATACCTAAAGGCCAGTTTATTCGTTTACGCAGGAATTGTACCAACAAAGAGGATTGTTTTGACACTTGAAAATAGATTTACCCAAAAAGGCTATGACCCCCATATGAATAGAAATAGCATTCAGGAAATATCTAATGTTGACAGACAACAACTAGTAAGTGATAAAATCCAAGCAACAGCTAAAAATGAATTATTACCCATAATTATGAACTTTAATATACACCATAGACAAATTGAAACAGTATTCAAAAAACATTGGCTGATTCTGAAATCAGATAAATTGTTGGCAGGTATGTTACCTAATGAGCCCCTATTTGTATACCGAAGAGCACCAAATTTGAGAGTACAAATAGCTAAAAATATAGTAGATCCACTGAGGAGAAATAAAAAGGTTACTTAAAGGCTTTTATCCATGTAGACAC